ATTTTCAAAAAATTGTTTTTAGTTTTTAATGTAAATATTTAAGTCCAATTATATTTTTAATATTTTTAATTTGAGTAACATAATTATTTTTGGAATTACACTTAGAAAATTAATGCAAATTTGCTTAGTATTTTATATTATAAATAATTTTTTTCTTATAGAAAGGCACAAATTAGGCTTTTGTTGGAAAAATTAAAAATATGAAAAAAAATAAGAAAGAAAATCAAAATTTATAGCAGTTACGATTGATATATAGTATATTGAAATATGAGTTTTATTTTAAAAATAATAATTGTTTTATTGATGAAATATTAATAATTTTATCTTTGAATCGTATTGATAACAAGATTAATATTGTTTTATGTTTTTAAAATTTTTTAATATAGAATATTATTTATAAATAAATTATTAATTAAAGAATATATTACAGAATGCAAATTTTAGAAATTATAATATATTATATATATATAAAATATAAGGCAAAATTTAATTAATAATTAAAAAGAAATATTTTTGAAGTATTTTAAAAATACCAATTTTCATATATGGAAATTATTACAGAATTAAAGTTTATATAAATTGAAGAAGAATTAATTAAACTTTAATAAAAAAGAATTTTTAACAAATTATAAATTAAAAATAAATTATATAATTTTTAAATTGAATTGCATTTTTTAATTTCATTTTTAAGCAAAAACTAATATTTCATATATACCATTTAAATATGAAAAAAATTTGAGTATAGTGTAAAAATATTTTATTTAAAAAAAAATTTTTTTTTAAAATAGTTTAAATTTTTATATGTTTACCCAATATAGTTGAAAAAGGAATAATGTAATTAATTTAATTAATTTAGTAATTAATATAATTTAAATCAATGTAATAAAAGTATAACATGAGATTTTAATAATTAAGGTAATATATTCAATCTAATATTTAATCACTTTTAGCAATTAGGGAATTAAAATTAATTATAAAATTAAAATTATTTTTATATAGAAATAAAAATTTAATTAACACATTTTCACATCACATTCACAATTTAAACATATGAAATACATCACAAGAAAAGGTACTTGAATTTATATAAGGATTTTTTAAGGAGTAGTTTTTTAATAATAATTTTATTAAATTTTTTAAACGTTTTTAATAGGCCAACCGTAGCTTGATTTAATATAGTTCTTTTTTTTTTTGTTTATAACACTAATTAATTTAATTTATATATTTTAATATTATTCTTATGCTAAAATAAGAGATTTTTGTATCAACATATAAAATATTGAGCTTAAGAATATGCGGGTTTATAGGCGCTACCCAATAATTTATAAAAAAAACACATATACATAAGTGAAGGCCTAATGTTAAGTGCATTACAAAAACAACAATTGCGTTTACAATATATAACAACACATAAAATCAAAAAGATTCCCTATAAAAATAATTTTTTCAAAATATATTATGTATGTAAATATGTATAACTTTCTATTATATAAAAATAAGAATGGAGATCACTTTTGGATAGTATATAACGAGTAGTTGTAATTGTAATGCATATACTGTGAAATGCTAAAAAAAATTTACTTTTAATTAGAAATAATTAATTACATAATAATAATTATAAATTGTAAATTTTTTTTTTATTTAAAAACAAATTTATTTGCTCAATTGGATTTACTTATTTGAACAAAAATTAGGGCAAAGTTAAGAAATTAATATAAATAAAATTCAAATATAAAATAATGTTTATTTTATAAATTTCAAATAAAATTTTATATAAAGCTTATAATAGTAAAAATTACTAAGTAGAGCTTAATTTTAAGACTTGACTAGAAAATGCATTTGTTTATTAGTGTAACATTATGCCTGTACCACGGTCAAATTGTTTAATATATTATATACCAAATAAACACTCTACAATGACTTGTTGGTCTGCTTCTAATGGATCACTTTGAAGCGGTGCACTGGGTCTCCTGCTTAAAAAATGTGTTTTATTACTATTTATTTGTGAGGTTATTTTTATTAGTTTCGTATATTAATTATATTTAGTCGTAAACATGATCATTTACATTGAATCGGAAAATTATATATAAAAACTCTAGCAAGATAAGGAATAGACTTTTATTTGTTGTTTTAAAATAAGAAAAGATTGTAGTTAAAATTGCCGAAACTTCCATATTTTCATATCTTCACACGGATGGACAGACGAGACAAACGATTGAATAAATAAATAGGCAGTATTACAAAAATATGGATATAGTCAAATCGATTCAACCTATTTTGCTGATTTGAAAAAAGGTCATGTTCTTCTACGATCATTTCTTCCTATACATTATGTATGTAAAGTGTATAATTACGACATACATCATGTTAGTTGTAGATAAATAGATATATATACGGCATTGGAGAAGTTTTCGCTAAGAATAATATCACGAAATATATTCGGTTTCGAAAAAGACAGTATTTATTAAAAATACTTTAATTTGATGAAAGAATAATCTTATGAAATATATTCGACATCAAAAAAGATAATAATTGATAAAACGTTTTTAAGTTTATGAAAGAATAATCTTATGAATTATATTCGTTCCGAAAAAAAATGATTACTCAGGCTATATTGTAGCGAAATTACTAAATGATTATTATTGTGTTATTGAAGACCAGAAAGCACTGTGACATTTGCTAAATCGTAGTAATTGTCTTGAGCAGAGTATGAAGCAGAGTAGAGTATAAGAAAACCACTTATCTAAACACTCGCGTTCTGTATAGTTTTAGAGGTACGACCCAATAATCCTCTACGCATGCATTGTATTAATGGCGTCAAAGCTGAATTGAGATAATGTAGTATCGAGAGAAATAGAAAAATCTAGTTAATAAAAGTTAAGGTCTCACAGATCTGTAATGCCATAAGATTATAATGATAATGAATATTTTATTTTTAGAAAGTGAAAGCAGAAGATGAAAATTCTATTGAATGGGTAGTAGCAAGAAAGCATCATAAATGGAGATCGGCAAGATTAAGAACCACAAGATTAAGAAGAAGTAGAATAAGAAAAAAAGAATAAGAAAAATAGGAAGAATAGGAAGAAGAAGAATAAAAAGAAAAAGAATTTCTAAAAATTTATAATGTTAAATATAAAACTTAAGTCCTATAACGTTCAACAAATATGATAATTAGAGATCATCTATTTTAATAAAGGTCTGGGTAGTATAAAAAATACCTGAATCAGGCCAAAAGCTGATAACGGATTATTATGGTCACTTAATTAAGTAAGTTTAAAAATGCTGTGACAGTGAGATATGCTAATCATAAGCAATATTGTCTTTAGCTTTTTCAATAACTGCGCGGGCCAAAAATATGTGGGAATCAAAGTGATCCAATAATCTGTAAAATTGTGGAATCCCTTACTTGTGTGAACTTAAGTTTTTTTTTAGTAAGAACTCTGGAGTATTAATCAAACTTTATATCTTTGTTAGTCTTCTTTCTTTATTCTCTTTATTTTTATTTTTTTCTTATTAAATTCGGTTTTTTTTGCCATAGTGGTAAACCCTACTGTGCGCAAAATACGGAAATATCGGTGGAAATTTTGAAAAATTAATGTCGGTCGCGCATCTTTCTAGCTTAGACGAAAAATCGCTCTGAATAATTGGTTCAGCAGCTTAAAGGGAATTTGGGGTATGCCGCTTCATTAGACTTTCTGTTTAATTTTAATTTTTAATTAATGGAATTGTGCATTCAACTCAATCAGTTATCTTTAATCGAAATTTATGCATTTATCAAACTCTCATCCCGAGACAATTTTTGATTAATATAAAATCTGGACCCTAGTGGCTCATTGATTTTCATTGGCAGTTTAAGTGCTTAACCATTTAAGTAGAATTCATATCCATATTAAATAATTTGTACAGTGTTCTAATTCTTTTTCTTAATACAAAATACAACAAAGTTAGTCTCTTTCATATTAGTTGTTGGGTTCTGGTCATAACTAATTTAAACAATTACCGTCAAATTACATTCGACGACGGCATAGTCCGACAAGTCACGTATGACCACAGGCATAATTTTACCCATTTTTTGCGTTAACTTACACACACACGCACTCACGTAAATAACATACATGTGTATGTGTAGATAGAAAAGTAATTTATAAATTAAATATTTATTGATATCGGTAATTGAAGTAATTACTCTGTTAACAATTTTAATGTGTAATGCTTTAACACACAAATAAACAAAAACAAAAACAACAACAAAAACAACAACAAAAACTTATAAAAGTAATGCTACTGTAATGGGAAATGCTTTTTTTTTTGTTTTTGTAGATGAGCAAATACGTGCATTACTCTAACTTAGTACTTCCGAAAAAGCTGTTTCCTTTTACTTAAATGCTACACTTAATTAATTAATATTAATTTGTTTTATGATATAAAATATTTTTAAAAAATAATAGCTACCAATGTTGTGCATAATTATTTTATAATAGACTTACTTTAATACAGATAATAATATATACGTATATGATATGAAGGAAATGTCTCTGTTTAATTAGCCAAAATAATTAATTATTGAGGCCATATTAAGTACACAGAAATGCATTGAATTAAGCACTTGTTTTTATTCGTTGGAGAGGATAAGTACTTAATTTAGTTTTTAAATTAAATATTAAATATTTGAGTAATTTTTGTTAGCTTGTAGAAGGAAGTATTTATTCTTTTACTTCTAAAACTCATCTTTTTTTGTATTTTTATTATTAACTTAGTTTATTTGTTCAATTTAAATGTCAAGGAGCAAAATTTGTTTATTTTTTTAATTAACTTAATAGATAAATTAAATATTTTCGGCGTTATTATAATTTTAAATTATAAATAAGTAATTAATTCTTTTTTTTTTTAAATATTTTAAGAATGGCCGAAAATTAAAAACTTTAGGAAAATATTGTATTTTTAAAAGTATGTTTAATGTCTATAAAATAATTTCTAATACATTTTGTGTGGTAGTTTCGGGTAATTTAAAATGGTAGACTTGCCACAAACATTTTTTCGATTAGTGCTGGTGCTGGCACTAAATCTTCTAATTTCAGATAGAATATTCTTTGCAGTCCTTGCACGCTGAGCGAACGTAGTTCTGGTAGCTTTCCGAGTAACCGACTGAAGTAGTGTGGTTTCTTTTGTGCCTCAGCGTTATAAGTGACATGATCACGTAGACTGCCAATGATCTTCATCTGCAATTGCTCAACTTTTTTCGGTTCATTTAAGCCATGCCGTTCTGTAATATAAAGTCAAAGTTAACTTTATTATATGTTTTTTTATTTTTGATATTTATTTTATTTTTTTCCATTACTTCACTAATTTTTTATACATTATATATAGAATAATTATTATAACATTTTGAGATTTTAATACTACAAAAATGATTTCATTTTTTAGTCAAAAATATATATAAGGGGTTTTCACGATTTTGTGTAATGAGTTTTGTTATCGAGCAAAAGAAAAATAGAGACTAAATTATATAATAGTTTAATTGATTTTTCCTAAATGGGAGTTCTGAGATATGTAATTTTTTTAGTGCCAAGTGGATTTCTGTGATTGCTCAATCTTTCGAGATATAAAGAACTATGCTGACAATATAAATTAAAGCAATTTAATTTATATGAATAATATAATTTCGAAAAATTTCAAGCTGCTTGGAGATACTCAATAACTCGAACAGAAAATCTTTTTTGCGTTACATTTTATTTTGATTTCGTTTAATACAAATAAATAAACCAGAAAATGTTTGAACACAATATTGTTGTTGATGCTCGAAGTTTCGAACATCATAGGGTCGAAGTTTCGAACATCATAGGCTCGAAGTTTTGAACATCATAGGCTCGAAGTTTTAAACGTTAAATTGCTTAAAATTTCGAGAAACAGTATACTTAAAGTTTCGATTAATAAAATGGCCGAAATTTTAAACATCAAATTGTTTTCGAAATTCGGAACATCTAATTGCACGAAATTTAGAACATCAAATTATTCAAAACTTGGAAAATCAAATTGCTAAAAGTTTCGAAGATCAAAATAATCGAAATTTAGAACAAACATATTTTTAAAGTGCTTAAAGTTTCGAACATCAAACTGCTTGTAGTTTCAAACAACAAAATGCTTGAAGCTTAGAATATTAAAATGTTTGTTAGAACAGCTTGAAAAATATATAAAGCTCCGATGTATTTTATGTATTCATACTAGTCTTTCAAAGTGTGCGAGTAATACTGTACTGAAGCAGTTCGAATATACTCGAACTTTAACATTTGCATGAAATATTTCAAATATTTAGTGATACTAGAGCTGCTCGAAAATATTCCAAATACTGTGACTTATGTTTAATTTTATTTTCGTTTTATTTTATCAAATGCACGAGCAATATATAATATTCGAATATATTCAAGCGGCTCGTTCTGCTCAAATACAAAGATCCTTGAACATTAATATGCACGAGGCTTCGAACAGCTCGAATATATGAAACTTTTATAAATTTTCAAAGGGTCATGTTATGCAGACGATTAAATTATAGTCGATAACTACATTTGTTGTTGTTTTCAGCTCGGACCCTACACTGCTAAGACTTTGACAGGATTTTTATATTTGATTGCAAATATTTATTATTTTGAAGTTTGTTTGCAAATAAAAATTTGTATATTTAATGAAAAAGTGAGGTTGTATGCAAAAATCTTGTCAATTTGTCTAATTTGCCAGTTTAGTTAGTGTAGAGACCGGGTCAGGTAATAAACTATAGTGAAAATACATTTTTGTTTTTTTTTTTAAATCAAATATTTTGTTTTAAATTTGTTGTATCAGACTTATATATAAAGTAATAACTTAACAGTTTAAAATTTATATATTAGTTATTACCTGTTACCAAAGTTAGTGCACAGAGACATGCAAATGCAGATATATCGATTTCCAAGTTGTGCAAACTCTTGCTGAATTCCAAAATATCATTTAACCAATCACCAAAGGAGCGTTCACATTGGCTACGGTGGAGTACAATCCCATTACAAAACGTCATTTTAGTATCATCACTACGTGCTCGATATGATAGCCGGAGTACAAAAAGTTCTAACATAGCTGATTGAAAAAGTAATTCCTGATCCTCTGGGCACAAATCTCCATATCCCGGTATTTTGTCAGCAAATTGTTTTATAACATCAACTGAAGTGGTAAGTAAATTATAGAATTGTTGCACTTTTTCAGCTTCACTCATAACAATTGGCGAGTCTTCCTGATTTGGTTCTTTGTATTGTGAGTAATCCAAACATGATGGATCGGGTGTTGTGTCTACATGACTTCTAACCAAAGCAGTTATTAATGATATCGGTGGTGATGGCGGAGATTCTTGTGGAGATTTTGGTTTAGAAGGTAAACGTCCGCGACGACCTTTAAGTGAATCTGTGCGTACTACCTCCTTGACCATACCAACAGCTAAACATTTTTGAAAGCGACAAAACTGACAACGGTTGCGACGCCGCTTATCGACTGGGCAAGATTTATCAGCTAAGCAAACATATTTGGAACCTTTCTGTACAGTACGCTTAAAGAAACCCTTACAACCTTCACAGGTGCGTACGCCATAATGCTGACAAGCTGCTGTATCGCCACATACAGCGCAAAGCTGTGATGCGTTCTGTATGACCCTACCGTTAAGCAACTCATTTGAGGAGCTATTCAGGTTATGCATATGCTTGATATTACCGTTATTGTATTGGAGTACAGTTGTTGGTGTGTTAGTAACGTTAATGTTCGCTTGTTGATGACAACTTGGTGAACTGGAAGCGGAGCTTGGCGCACTTGACAGCTGTAGTGGATGGTGATGATGTCCTGACTGTCGATGACGTTGTTGTAGACCAGTTGTGCTGAGCACAAGTTTGGGTAGCTTTGGACTATGATTGGCTGGGGAATTTGAGCGCTGTATTGGTAATGAAGAGCGACGCAAAGAGGAAATTGTCGTGCCTGTTACGTTTTGTAGTTCGGATATAGTGGGAAACGTTGGAAGAGAATAACGATCCATTGCGTTTGATACGATGTAACTCTAAAATTAAAAACGTTAAATATATAATAAATAAAATTTATTTTTGTTTATTATAATTATAAATAATAGATGAGACTAGTACTGGTTATTAACATAAAATGAAAAATGAAATAAACATAGTACCAACGACCAACGGGGCAGGGCACTGCGGCCATAGTTGATACTAGGATATTGTATTTACAATTAAAGCCTTTAGTACAAAAAAGAGTCAACTCATTTTTTTTTTTTTTTTGATGAGATAAGATGAGATAACTCAGGGATTTGGAAAAATCTCAGAGTTCTACTTCAATGAGTCACTTATGATTTTGAGTTATAGATATAAATAGTTTTCGGTTGACAAAATGCTCTTATCTTTCATCACTATTATATTATTATATTATATATTTTTGAGTTGATCCGTTCCTGCATTAAGGCTTAAACTATAACTTTCTACTTACATTAGGTTGTTGCTGGGTTAAGTGATATTGTGGATAGAAACTGTCAGTGGTGGAATTGAAATGATGACTATGATTTTGACTCTGTTCCGTTGTAGAACCAGTTGGAATAGCGCTGTTGTTGCACTCATATGATGAGACCGAAGAACTTGGCGAAGTTGCCGATGCAGTTGTGGTGTTGAAGTGCCCATGATAGTTGTAATTGTTAGTGTTGTTGTTGTTGTTATTAGAATTCAGTGTAGTATTACTATTATTACCGCCGTTATTATTGTTTAACTGTGTCACTTGATGATGTTGTACATGATGTTGTTGGTGATGTTGTTGTTGTTGCTGTTGTTGTTGCTGTTGTTGCTGTTGTTGCTGTTGATGCTGTTGCTGTTGATGTTGCTGATGTTGAATTTGCTGATGTAAATGCATTTGATTATTTTGCGAATGTTGATTAAGCAAATGATTGCCGATCACTTCGGCTGTTGTTGATAGTTGGAAACAATCGTCATTCATTTTTAAATTCAATGTTGTATTATGTGTAGGTGAATTAGCTGCAGTTGAGTTATACTTAAGAGAGTAAGTTTCCTCAAAACTCGGTAATGAGCTGCCACATGAGAGCGGCCCGCTAATTGGCGAAATTAGTGGTTCAAGACCGGTACGACCGTTGTGTAATTGTGCTTGTTGCTGTAATGCTTGATGTTCTTTTAGTGTGTGCAATGCTATAGCTGGATCGCTACTTGAACGTAATGTTAATAGACCGATTTCCTGTGATGTTGTACGATCAAAACATAAAGAATGCTCTTGCTCTGAGCTCGGTGTACTTATTGTATGCTGTTCAGGTATTGAGGATAAACGTTTATCGCGCAAACAGGTCAATGTTGTCAGATTCTCAATTGAGCTTGTAATATCTTCGTTGCTACCAATTAAGGTTTCACAGGACGAATGTAGTTCTTGTAGCGTCTGTTGTGTATTTGGTTCAGCGTAGTTTGGATGTTGATCAAGACTGGGAGATAGTAATGATTGATTTGAGTCAGTTGGAAAGAAAAGATCTGACAATTGATGAAATGTATGATCGATGAGCTCTGTTTGCTCGACACTTGTACCAGTTAGATTGCCAATTAGTTGTTCCTCATTTGCTAACAGTTGCTGTCCCTCTTGTTTTAGATTATTTGAGTGTATTTGGTTGTGCTGATTCAGGTGATGATGCTGATTATTCGACTGTTGCGTTGAAAAATTGTCAAACGGAGAAAGAGAACTAAAAGAGCTCTGTAATGGTTCACATAAAACAAAGAACTGAATAAGAAGTTTGATTTGTTAAAACAGTTAAAGTTAAAATATATTGCGCGGCACAGACATGCGCCACATAATAGAAACTCTGATTGGTGGTTTGAGATTTATTACGGAAAGCAAACAATACGGACAGACTTTAATGAATATTTTATATGCTTATGGTTAAGTTGGCGGTAAGGATAATTCTTGCATTTCCATTGCCTTTTTACACTTTCTAATATGTTTTGGGTTATTAAATTTTTATAAATTGTTTATGATATTTTTTTCCACAATCATTTTTCTATTTAAGTGCTTCCTTGTAACGATTTTCAACCCTATTTATGGTGCGTTCATAATGCCTTACGATTGAAACGGATGAGTCCTGTATAGCGTGTGTAAGGTGTTAATTCTTGAAAATTAATTTGTCACGCCTGTTGGTTACTTCATTGTAAAATGGAAAATATGAAACTGAATATATATAATATATATTTTAAACATATTAGGCGGAACGTAATGCAAATTCAATTAGAGAGGTATTGTCAAAAGTGTCTATAAGTTATTAGATGGGCATATGCGAAATTTGCAAAACTTCATCAACAAATTAACATAAATAATTGAAAACGTTTTCAATATAAAGGATTTGAAAATGCTATATTTAAACTTGTAACGGCTGAATACTTCAAAAATGCTAGAGGAAATTAGCATTGTTCTATAGTGACTATTAACTAATTTGTGTTATAAATATCAGACAAATACTAAAATTTTATACCAGAATAATGTTGACCATCAAGTTTGAGCTAGATAAGAATGCAAAGATTCTTGGAGATTCTTAGTGGAGAGTCACACATAGTGACTTATTAGTGGAGTCATTACTGGAAAGGATTCGTATAGGAACGGTCACATTCGAGCTGCTCAAACTAGATAGGAATACGTGGAGGGTCACACATAGTGACTTATTAGTGGAGCCATTACTGGAAAAGATTCGTATATGAACGGTTACGTTCGAGCTGCTCAAACTAGATAGGAATACATAGATTTGTGAATTCATAGTGGAGCGAAGCATAGTATCATATATTCCGCTGATATATGAATAGTCACGTTGGAGCTGCTCTCAGTAGATGGAAATGCATAGATTTCTGGATACAGTGTAGCAAATCTCTATTTTATAGTAGTAGTAGTAGTATATTAAAACTGTTATAATTAACTTTTATATTGAATGTATATATCTAGTTTACAAAAATGCGAATATATTAATCCAAATAAAAATGTTCGAATTTGTAAATATGTAACTCTTTAGTTTTCAAACTTTTAGATAATGTTTTAGATAATTTACATGAAAACCATTTACTATTAATAGATAAAAAAAAGTTAAATATAACTTTTGGAAAGCCCTGATATTCACAAGTTTTTCTAATATTATTTATAAGGCTATTGATTAAATAAATACGCCTAAAAAATATGCTTGGGTCTAATAGTTACTTGAGCCTAATACCTACTTGGGCCTTATAATTACATTCGGTTTTATGTCCTTAATAATTTACGAAACCACTTGTGGCTCTAAGGGCTTCAAAGGATCTACAGATATGTAGCTCTTAAGCATTTTAAAGATCTATAAAAAAATTTGAAGTTTTTAAAACTCTACGCTTTTTAAGGTTCTATAAAAATATTTATAACAAAATATAAAAATATTTTAACTACTAAAATTCCATGGGATTTATAAAAATATATGTGTTTTCAAGGACCTATAATATTACTTGTAGCTCGTAAATTTCGTAAGCATCTAGAGATATATTTGTAGCTTTTTAGTCTTTTAGGGATCGATACAAATATTTTTAGCATCTCTTTAGAGCATACAAAAATGTTTGTGACTTTTCTTAAGTAAAAGTTTCAAGGTTCTCAAGGATCTATAATATATACATATATATATAGCTTACATTTGGTTGCAACAGTAACATGCTTGTTGTAGCGTTATTAAGCCTCGAGTTGCTAAGTTTGTTCTGTGGAGCTTGAAATGTTTTGTCGTTCTTCGATTTGCTCGGTTTAACGACGGTTAATGTTAAGTTGTTGTTGTTGTTGGTTGCTGCTGTTGTGGACGTTGATGTTGTTTCAGTTGCTGTATTGTAATTTGCTGCTGTTAAACGGTCTGTAGCGCTTAATGACTTCTCGGATGCACCTGTAAAGATTTATAATAAAGCAAAAATTATAATTTTAGTTATTTATTTTTGATATTACGTTCTGAAATATAAACCAAACCAAGCTATTAAAAAAAATGGAAATAAAATATTTCTAAGTGTCAGTTAATCCTCAGGGACTAGTTTAAATATCACATGACATTTAAAAATTATATTATGCATATTCTTTGTGGAAGACAACATAGATATACATATAAAAAAAATTTGATTTAACTAAACAATATATAAATTAGTAAGCATGCATTGTGTCAAGGAAATATTTAAGAATTTAATATAGTTTTGTTATTAGTACTGAAAATGTTTATATAATATTTTATTATATATATTTTTAAGTATAAGGGTTCATTTATTATTTTATTCTGTTTCTTTACTTTGACGTAAGCAAAAGCCGGTGTAAATACTGAATTTATGCATAAGAAATAAAAATATTGCATTAAAAATGATGCTGTTTTGTGTGCAAAAAAGGTTTGTGTGTATAAAATTCATTTGACAATAACAATGTTGTTGTCTTGTGTGAAAAATAAGTTTGTGTGTATAAAATTTATTTTGCAATAACAATGATGTTGTTTTGTTTGTGTGTACAAAATTTATTTGTATAAGTGGGAATTGGTAAACTATTTGTTTTGTTATTAAAATCTTAGTTTGTAATGTTTTGCAAAGTAACACTTTAAAAACACTTTACTGCAGGAGGCTTTTTAAAATTTCTTTAAGCAATTTCTTGACTAGTATTGATTTATTTGATAATATAAACTTCTTGATATCATTTTGAAATATTGTACAATGTACCAAGTCAAAAACAGAATGGAGGGTATCTGCAATCTTAGTAAATTAAAAGCCTTAATAGCAGATGTCATAACATTTTATACGCTATGAACATTATAATTTTGTTTTCATATCCATAAAAATTGTTAGTATCCGATACATTGCGTTTCGTGCCTCACGTTCATGCTACCAAGTGCGAATCTCAAGATATTGAAATATGCGCACCGTTTGGACAAGTGCACGAGAAGCGTAAATGTAGGTGAACAAGTTGCAACTACGAATGCAGGCGGGAATTTTGAAGTTTTGGAACTTGTTTCACTGAGGGTCGTGAATTTTGCAATGGTAAATAAAAGTTAAGCGTAATAAAAAGCCACAAATCACAACTCCTGTACAGTATGTTTATGTCCGTACATATGTTTATCTAATAGTTGATTTGTCTGTACATTGCTTTGAACACGAAAGTATCTTTATCTGCAGAGAATTAATATTAAAGTTTTCTAAAAGTTATGTTTATTCTTTTTTTTTTTGGTTTTTGGTTAGTTAAGTGGTGGCCAATTAAATGGTAATTATATACATTGCTAACAGATATTATTTATTTTTTGGTTATCATTTGTTAATGCCTCCAATATTCTGATTATATTTAATATTCATGTCATATACATCACGACTTTTTACTATAAGCATATACGTAATTTTTGTATGAAATATGTTTTCTTAAAAGAGTTTAGATGATAAATGAAAGTCGCTTCTTCCTAAATACTATTTAAAAATATTCTGGTTATTAAAGTCAAAGATTTTTAATTAAATAATAAAATCAACACTTAAATTGAGAAAATTAATATCAGAAGTTTTTTTTTCTTTCTAAATTTTTAATAAATAAATTTGTTGAAGGACAAATTACTTAGGAACATGTGCTAAGTGTGTATCCAGCTCCTCCAACCATTCCTTGCCTTTGTTTGGAACAATAGAAATTTCTAAACATATGTTACATTTTGAGATGAGATGGGCCATTACTGAAACTAGAATTAACTAATAAATTTAAACGAAAGGTTATCACAATTTTCAGGTTTGCACGCGAATGATAATTTTCCACTAAACTAACCGTAGATTATGATAATCTCAGCTGATTCTTCAGCACTAGGTACATCGTAAGGTAACTCACATGGCGTACACGGTCATTGTCACTCGTTAATATGAAGCGATCGCTCTATTACAGATATATTCAAAACATGCTTTGTTAAGCAGTTTAACTTATCATTGTGATGTTATGATAAAGTAAATTAATTTTAATATTGGTGAAACAATTTATCCAATAGTTTTAGAATAGATTAAACTACATTGGACCCAAGTGTAAACAGATGTAGAACGACCATTTTGTAGATTTGTATTGGAAATTATTTGGCGGTTAATACTTTTTACGAATCGAAGAAGCAATTGTATCTTAATTCCAAAGACAATGTGGGTTTATTGATTTTAATAAATCTTAGACCCATTTTAAAAGTGAAATAATTGTTATTTTTTTTTATTTCTTATAATTCTTATAATTTCTTATATGGATTAAGCGTAAAACCTGCCAATAGGTGCTATTATGAACTATTGCTAACAGGCTATTGAGTAGTTCACTCACTTTCTCGATGAAAGAAAATATTTATCTACAAGTTGCACATTTTATTCGTCGCCTATTATATGGCAAAGAAGCATGGGTGACAAAGAATTACGATCAAGAATCTATATGGTAGAAGTTTCTGAGACAAATATTCTATGTAAAATCGTTGCTCAAATTTATATTAATAGTGAATATCTCACTCGGTGACATGACGAACTATTTGGGTTGAACCGTGAAATTGACATAGTTAAGCCAAGTTAAAAAAAAATGTAGAAATAAAAAAATTTGGTTTGGAACTTTGAACCTATCAAATTAAAAGCAATGATTTGGCATGGTTTAAGAGGATAACCAAAGCACTTGTCGGTGCTTTTTAATTACTATTTTTCCTAAGAATTTAGGAAAAAGGAAAAGAAAAAAAAAGAGTTTAAAATTCATGTATATATGTATGTTATTTTTCTTATAAGTTCATATGTATCAGTTGTATATTGTATAAAAAAAAGTGTAATTTCATATTAATTATTTTTAAATTTAGTTTACGATTAATTATTTAAGCACTACAGCCAAAATTTTCGAACCGCCCAATTATCCATTACTTTCAGTTTCTATATTTTCCTTTGAAATGAGTTTGGTTATTTCCCTTTTTATTAGTTTTTTAACATGAGCCTTGCCTTGCGTTCCACACGCAAACTCTATATCGAATGTCTTAATTAGAAAAAAACTCATGTGCATTGCAGACATTTTAGTCGTATTTCCATAGTGACACCGGCAACCACGGCAACTACGGCAGCATCTGCTACCACATCGCCAACTGCCGCAGAAACTGGCTGCATCGTGTCTGCACTCAGATTGGCTGTGATCACGTCTTTGTTGGCAATTTTTCCAATTGGTTATATATTTTTACCGAAATGGCTATATTAAAGCAATTGATAATTTTCGCAAATAGGGCGAATAATCAGAAATTTATTACAAACCTATTTTTATGTATTTCGGTATAAATCTGCACATAAGCATTGCAATAATATATATTATATATATAATTATTGTTTGTAGAAGTAGTATTTTTTTTTTCTCAGAGAGCCTTTAAGAAATAATGATTGGTTAAGGTAATGATTGAGCCACCTATATATGTAGGTGCTTGAATAAAAGTTCATTAATGACAGCTATATACGAGTATAGTTGTGAAGTTAATAAAAAAAAAGTGATGCTTCAATATATACAATATATATGATTATTTTTTGTAGAAGTAGTATTTTTTCAAAGAGCAGTATATAGTGTTTTTAAGAAGTTAAGAAGGTTATCACTGCGCGATTTTCGGTGAAATTGTAAAAAACTCACCAACACTGCAGCTTCTAATTGCTAATAAAAAAAAATAAATGGAGCGCTGGAAATAGATATCTGAGTGTACTCAAAAGAAAAATAAAATATCAAAATGGCGTATAAATTTTGATTCTTCTACTGGCTAATAGGTATCACTTTCAAAATTTTTCAATAAATTCGAAATACAGTTGGGAGAGTAAAAATTAACTAAACTAACATATAATAATCACAATAGCTTAGATATGGTGAGAGAATGAATGAATATTAGAAAAAACAATTAAATATAGCTTTAAATTCAGAAGAAAAAGAGTTACTTAATATCTAGGTTGGAATGATTATGCAGAGCAATTGATGGAACAATTTGATCAAAGAAACGAGAGAATTTCTATTTAGAATAAAAATAAACAGGGTACCGGCTCCTAACAGAGCAGAGTACCGCGAGTATAGTTGATCTTTTGTAGTGCGATAAACAACCTATGGTAGAAACATAAAAGAAATCTGAAGGTTTATACCTCGAAGTTTCCTTATAACAAATGAAGTACTGTTGTGTCATTAAAGAAAAAGATTGAATTTTTTTACAGCTGAGAAAGTTTTATTTAAAATATTTATTTAAATTATTTCAATAATATTTTTACTAAACTTCCAGTATATCCTTTAAAACAAAAAACTAATGCTATAATAAATAGATGTATGTATTATTATTAGAACTTTTGTGATATTTGGTTTATTCTTTAATATTAAAAAGTAATTCTACATACGTATATATGTTTTATTTGAATTTTTTTTAAAAGCCGGCATATTTATTAATATAAAAAGTAACCCTCTAGTAAATAGATGTATTTTACATATCTATAAGAATATTTTATATTTTTAATTGAATTTTATTTGACAGCGGGAACATGCGTTAATATTAAAAACTAAGTTTATAGATAATAATTATATTTAATATATATTGTAATTAACAATCGTTCTTCATTGGTTCTTCATTAAAAGTTATATGAAATATACATAAATTTTAGTAATATATGTTATAGGTATATTAATTACAGTAATATGTTATATTAATTCTCTGGGAAGTTATTGGAAGGTTTGTTTTTAGTCTACTATATCGTTTTTATACTACTATATATAGTTTTCATACTACTATATAAGCTTGTTTTTAACAGTTAATATAAGTGTTGGTAGAGTCTAATTAGTTATTAATTTAAGTAATGTCATAAATGACTCCTGGTTATT